TGATCTAAGGAATGGATGTTGTTAACAACAAGGAAACTGAGGTTCAGGGAGGTTATGAAAGTTCCCCGAGGTCACACAGCTATTCCATGGTGGAGCCAGGATTTAAATTCAGGTTACCTGACCCCAGAGCCTACACACTTTGCACTTCACTTGTGTTCTTATTTTAAATGCTTTTCTGAATTTGTGAAATATACAAAGACTTGGGCTCTCCTTCGAACTAGAGCATCTGTTTCTGGTGTGTTGCTTGCAAATACCTTGTGATGGCCCTTCACCCCCACATCCCCACAAGAAGGCTGGTGAAGATAGAAACACCCTCAGGGGCCAGTGGTTGCCAAGTTTCCAGTGAGAGGAGCATCTCTGGGAAAAGTTTCAGTGGATCGAAGCTGATCACAGCCTCATGCCTCGCTCCTGCCACACTGGAGCAATGACAGCCCCTCCCTGTAGCAGGTGGTCCTCTGGCTTACAGATGAGGAGACCAGAGCTCATCTAATTCAAAAATGGTAATGCTGGGCTCAAAAGTGATCCCCTTATTCCAGCCAGGGCTGTATCCCTTTGCAGAGGCTTTTAAAGGAAGTTCAGGGCCTAGCCTGGTGGCACATGCTGCTAAGACCCTGTGCTCTGCAGGCTATTACAGGGGGCTAGGGTTCGGTTCTTTCCAACCTGAAGGCCAGGGACACAGAAATATGTGCCAGTAATCCCAGTGACTCTGGGAGGCTAAGCACAGTGAGCTTGAGGATGGCCTGGACAACACGGCAGGACTTTGTCTGAAAGCACCTGGCGTGGTGTCACGTGCCTTCCAGTCCCAGCTGGGAGGTTAAGGCAGGAGGATTGCAACCTGTCTTTACAAAAAAAAAAAAAAAAAAAAAATCCAAAGTCTAGGCCCATCTATTTTTTTTTAAATTTTGCCAGAGGATACATATACATATCTAGTGAGAGAGTGTAAGAAAGGGAAAATGAGGAGATACAGATCAAGTGAGAGAGTGTAAGAAAGGGAAAATGAGGAAGCATTTCCATAGGGAATGGTCACACTGCAATCACTTCTCAGACAGACAGAGAGAGACAGAGAGACAGAAAGCGAGAAATCACCCCCCAGGGGGGATGGCCACGCCACAATCCCTTCTCCTCCATTCTCCTCTCGGGATCTTGGGCACGCACGCACACGCGCCCGGCGTGAGTTTTAAACCACCGGGTCTGGGACACGAACCGTGGTCGACTACGTGGGAGTCCAGTGACATAGCCATTATGCTAACTGCTGGTCCCCCACTCAGAATATTTTTCAAGCCACGGGATCCAAGACTCGAACTGCACAGTGAGCCATGTGGAATGCAGCAACCTTAACCACCATGCCACAGGTTGGTTTGGCCCATCTGGTTGGTTTTTTTTTTTTAATTTTAAAAATTATTATTCTGTTTTTAACCAGAGCAGCTCCTCTACTTCTTCTATAAGGAGATTCTGTTGGAGGAAAAAACAAAGTGTGAAATTATAGTAGCCTTGGGCTATGCTGCCTGGATTCTAACAAATGGCTCTTACTCTCCTGCCATGCCCCCTTGTAAAAAAGGCTTTTGTTTTCTGCGGATATCCTTGGTTAATTATTTTTAAATAAATAATTACGTAGCCTGTTGTAGGGGAGAAGCCTCTCTGTGACCCATATTTGATCATCAGAGGGCTGGACCTTTTCCTCTAGCCAAATTAAATAGGCGAAATCCAGAGACTGTTTGACTTGAGACTGAATCGATGGTGGAGACAGGCTGGGAGGTGGAATCACACCTGCCTCCCAGTGTTATCACAGCTCTCTCTTTGGAGCAGAGCATCCTGGGGAGGTAAACAGCTGTCAGGGAGTCAGAAAAAGCAGGGGAAAAACAGGGTGAAGTCCAGTTTCTCCAGACGGAAAGAACACGAGGACAGCGGCCAGGTCTCCCTCCCAAGTTGTGTCCAGGGCAAAGCATTGATGGTCCTGCCAGAACAGGCTTCTTTAGAAGCCATTTTCCTTGGAAAGGTAATTCCACTAGAATCTACCCTAAATTGCCTGGAATTTTAGAATCTTAGGGTACTGGAGTTTGTCACCACACTAGCTCCACCCCCAGCATCCCCATCTGTAGTCACCATTTATTTGGCATTGTGTTAGGAGCTGTGTAGATTTCATCTCTAATTCAAAAACAGGCCTGTTGAGGAAGAACTTTCTCCATGTTATATGAGGAAGGCACAGAGAAAGTAATTTTCCCATGATCACACATCTATTTTTTAAAAGAATTATTTAATTGTATTTATCATCATCATTATTACTTTTTAAAATTTGATACAGACACTCACCAGAAAGAGAGAGAGAGAGAGAGAGAAAGTGAGAAAGCAAGCTGCCAGGTCCAGGACTCAAGCCACAGTTGACCATGTGAGAGTCCAGTGCCCCAACCGCTGTGCCATCTGATGGCCCCATGATAACACCTCTATTAAAGCAAAGTCAGGATTTGACCTGAGTTTATCTAGCTCCAGCCTTAGTCTTCCCACTGCCTTTCCTTCTTAGAAAGTCTTCCTTTCAGTTATTTAAACTCTGTCGCCTTCCTTTTTATTGAACCTACCTCTGCTTTCACAGCTCACAAGTTTCAAATCTCTTTCTTTTTCTAACACTGCTCAAGCATCCTGCTGGGAATTTCATGGCTCCTGATCTTACCCAAAATAAATAAATAAATAAAGGACCCCAGACCAATAACCATCAAAATCTAGGATCACCGGGAACCAGCGGTTAGCGTAATGGCTATGTCGCTGGACTCCCATGTAGTCGACCATGGTTTGCATCCCGGACCCAGTGGCTTAAAAAACTCACGCCGGGTGCGTGCGCGTGCATGCCCAAGATTCCAAGAGGAGAATGGAGGAGAAGGGATTGTGATGTGACCATCCCCCTTGGGGGGTGATTTCTCGCTTTCTGTCTCTATGTCTCTCTCTGTCTGTCTGGCGAGCGCACATGCCCTATAGCGAAAACCTCTCAAAAAAAAAATCTAGAATCACCCCGCTTCCAGTACTCTGCCCCACCCCCAACACCAGCAGCAGCCCCTTGAATCAAAGGATGGGGAAAACAACCCCGAGAAAAAGCCCATAGCATAAACATCAAGCCCTTCATAGTTAACCAAGTTGCTTCTGAAGGTTAGAATCCTGCTTTAGCATTTGTTTCTGTTTTGGTTTTCCCCAACCCTCTTAAGCTTGGGGCCATATCAACCTTGGGCAAGGTCCTTAGGAGGATCCAAGAAAAACTGGCTTGGGTCTCTTCTTGGTAGGCTTCCTTTTCACAAATTGAAAGATGCTGATAATGGCAGGGGACCCC